GATGGATGGCCATTGATGTGGACCTGGCACGACAAACATTATCTAGGCGCAGCCCATGGTGTCGGTAAATATCTTCGTAGCCATCGTGCGTTCTTTGATGGCATGCTGTAGGCGAGAATAACTAATCACAATTACAGCCGGAATCATCGCGATACTATTGCAATGTGGATCGTTGGTGGACCCTTGGAAGGAGGATCTTTTCACTGTAGCTGATCTCTTATGTAAGCTGACGCTTTCCAGCGGAAATGTGCCTTCTAGCTTATCCAGCCACAAGGATGAATTAGTTCAGTAAGTCACTCCTCAACTCATGGTATCCTGTATTATAATCATATACTCAATCATCAGCTGATAACTGGTTTTGCAGATTTTGCCACGGTGCTGCTGGCATTATACCATGTGTGATTATGATAAATCGGCTCTATCCTGGTGATCGATCTAGTCGTCTTTTATCATATGCTGAAAAACAAGCAAAATGTATATGGGAGCGAGGACTGTTAAACAAATCAGTTGGCCTTTGTCATGGTAAGGAGGAGTACAGGACTAGGATCACTGGTTGTAACGAGTAAAAGCAATAGCTGGTGGCCACTTATTTCCCTTTTCAACTGCATTTATACCACCTCGTTTTCCAGGTATCTCTGGAAATGCATTTGCATTCCTAGAACTTCACTTAGCGTGCCCAGATTCGCCAGATTACTTGAACAAGGCAGCGGCTTTCTGTCGATTTGCTTGTGAATGGAGAGATCATACTTCTAGAAAACTCTTGCGTATTCCTGATCATCCATATAGTTTGTTTGAAGGTAATGCTGGTCTTGCGTGGTTATTAATTGATCTATGGTACGTTACGCAACTAGATCAGCAAGGCGAAACCATACAGAATGGTATTAAACCCACGCAAATCAAGCTCAAAGAGCGACCTGGCGGATTTCCGTGTTTTACAGATTTGATTTGAAAAATCCAAGCCTCGGTGATGTAGCCTATTTGCGTACATTCATAGCACTAACACTCAACAGTAATAACTCATTGAACAATAAACAATCACAAAACGATCTGCCCTTTCGTAATTAGATGGCACTACAGCTCGTAATGCTATCATGGTTGCAGTACCCACTCATCGGCCCTTGTCCTCCGTGCCATCTTTTTTACACAGCAGTAGTCGTTTCTTGTAGCACCGATCCAAATGTCCTTTGTGTATATTATTTCTGTCACTTTATTTCTGTAATGCAGTTGTTTTTAAAGTTTTCTCTGAAGTAGCGTCGGTAGGTATCCTTTTCAAAATCTCCTCCCAGTATCCTTCCTCTACAAGCACTCCACGTTTAATTTGACTTTTTCGTCTTTTTGCTCTTGCTTTTGATCATGACAAGCGCCAAGAAGGAAAATATAGCTGTCAGTCCAACAACCAAAATCAATAAGGGAATGCGGATACGGTATTCGTCAGGTGGGAAATAGTTGTGCAATGGGTGATCTTCGTCAACAAAAGGCTATACCAATTTACGTGTTAGCTACTCATCTTCAACAAAGCCATGAAGTAACTAACCAATATTGAATTCTCACCATGATCAAGGCCCAAGTGGTATAATAGACAAAAACCGTTACAGCAATGGAGAATGCTGCAGCCCCTACAGCTTTATCTTTGCCGTTTGCCTGCACATTCATACGTTAATATAGCGGCATGTTCTTACGGCTCTAAAGGTAATTATACACGTTTACGTACCATGGTCAAGTGTAGTCAGTAATCAGAGTTGCATCGACGTGGGGCCAACACCTAAATTTGTTGTGACTTGATTGGCTACAGTTTCACAGCCGATCAACACGAATTCCTGTCTGATAGCTGTTTTCCTCCTCTACCTGTACATAATGACCAGAGCAACCGAAGCCTTCACTACAGCCGCCATTGTCATTGGCATCTACCTCGTCTTTGCTCTTCACATCATTCCTCTTCCGCAAAAGATTCAAGATGATATTATACCCGTGGTAAGTTTCACAAGAGCTACCCACTGCAATTACTGATCTCATAGTTCAACGTGATTTACAATACTATTCTGAATCCACATATGCATTTCTCTAGCTACCGTGGTGGGTTCTAGTCAGTTTTGGTTCATACTGCCTGGGAACATTGGGTTGGAATGTCATGACTTTTGGAGAATGCCCGGAAGCATACGACGAATTAATGAGGGTAAGCTCTAGTGATACCTGGCACGCTACTGCCTATAGTCATACCTTGGGCACTTCTAATATGTATTTAATGACTTTCAGGAAATATCTGAAGCTAAGAATGACCTAAGATCTAAAGGCATGACTATTAACTGAAGACTTTTTAATACCCTTTCATTCCACTCGCCATCATTGCTACGAATGTATTTGATAGAATAAAAAAAAAGTTACAACTCGTCCTGGAAGATATTGTCAATTGTAATTATCTAAGAAGTGGTGGTAAATTGGTACATGCCTGAAGGGAAATCCATTGATCGACAAGTACTGAGACGTGAAGTCAGCAACCGTTTGTCAGTTTCAAGGAAATGGACATGAAGTAAATAGCTGTTGACACGTGCATCAGCACACCATTACATTTTTTTGACGTGAGCTGGTTTATATGTACTTGCTCAGTAGTATCCAATTAAATATGTGTGATTGATGAGGATATACTTAATAATGTAGAGCTAACTCAATGCGCATTTGCAAGTCCTCCTTTGTTGCCACCTATTGCGCTTGGATCAGTGCTTAATGAATCGTTTGTAGTATTTTTCATACAATTCCAAGCATCACCTTCTGCAGGTATGATATCAGACTGTGCCTAGTTGCTACATAGTCACAACTAAATCACATTGTTAGCCAGAGGGATCGACTCAAAGAGCTTTCCTCTTCAGATTTCTTTTTTTCTTAATTTTGCCTGCTAAAAGCATATTTTTTTATTACAGCTATACGGATCTAACTACAAAGGCCCGGTCCGCAATAATTGCAATAAGACTATTTAAGCTTGAACAGCCTCAGGTTCAGCGCGGGGAGCACGCTGCTGACGAGGACGGTTGTCACGGCGAGGACGACGGAAGTCAGCCTGAGCGTTGGCAGTGACGGGAGCGGAAACCTGGACACCAGCGAGGTTCTCGAAGTTGAGGGACTTGAGGAGTTCCTATATAGCGAAAGCAAACTCTTTGGTCAGTATCCATTATGCTAACGATTCGAACAATAACTTCTATCATTATCCTCCTTTCACACCTCCTTCTCATTCCCCCATGCTCAAACATCTCTTCTCCTCTCTTACCTTGGTATCGGGATCAATCTCAATGACGGAGGTGTCAAGAGCAGAGAACTCGGGAACGTAGTTGTCCTTGCGCTCACGCTCCTCTTCCTGGAGCTTGAAGGAAATACCACGAACAGGTCCGCGGGAGATACGCTTCATCAAATGGGTGGTGAAACCAGCAATCTTGTTACGAAGACGCTTGGAGGCAATGATGGCAACCTCGTCGCAGATCTTCTTGTTGGTCTGGAAATCGAGAGTAAGACGGGGGTAGTACTTCTCGATGAGGACGCGGGAAGCCTTCTTAACGGTCTTAGTTCTGGATAATTAGTGAGAAGAAAAAGTTGTTCAAAGGTTAATTCAGAAACTATGGAAATGTTGAATTTGTCGATTTAGTTGAAATTTCATATGTACCTAACACGACCCTATTCAAAAGGTAAACCATCCATCAGTTAGCATCCATCAATTACGATGACAACATCATCCATTCATAGCCATCCTATTATGTCAACCTACCATGATGAAATTTGTAAAGGAAGATCTTCAAATTTGCCTGCTTGCCTCGTCTTGTTCAATCGCCATCGAGCTGAGAATCGCGGATGCCTTGGTCATGTGACTTTCTCCTCCGACGGTGTCCCATTCCAAGTATGCTTAAAAGTTAAGATTAGGCGTGCACCCCTCTACATGCAGATTCTATCACCCCAAAGTGCATATAACAATTATTAGTTAGTAATAATACACTTTGATATATATTGAACGTAACATAATGCCTCTCATTCCCTAACACAAGATTGTACAATCTTAAAATAGGAATAATGGCTTTTCATATATCCATACGCTGTCATACCGCATTGTTCCAGTGAAAGCCTGATATAATATTAACCCTGTTTATAGTAGTATAAATATATTACAGTCTATTGATATATCGTGGTGGTAGTGCTTGTTAGTCTAATTTTACCAGATGTGCCATCCACGAAGTCCTTAAAAACGACATGGTTAAATTCATAGTTCAATACCAGTAAAGTAGAAACACAGTGAGGTTTATAACATAATTATTCCTTCTAGTTATGACATATAGTTTACTTTGATGTACAGTATTTAATTTAAGTAAAATTGTGTCTAGTTAAGCTTGACTAGTTACTGATAATGTCATGACAACACACACTAGTTAAACTTAATGCTTATGCTAATTTCAAAACAAAAAAAAAATAAAGAAATTGAATTGAACTTTAAAATTAAGCCATAAATATGAAGAGAACCATTTAAGAGTTCTCATGTTCGTACTTCCACTGACATGTGCTTAAATCGTCATTCTAACCTACTGATTGATTGAGCAATATTTGAAACATCAATGTCAAATATCGCCTGTGAGTGGTATTAAATGGTTGACTATTCTTAGTCTGAGATCTTACTATAATATGGTAAGATGAACTAGAATATTATAATGGTTACGCTTTGATCTGTGGTAAAATGGTATCAGTAATATTGATTCAAAATAAACTATCCTCATTTCATAGAGTCAATTGCTTGATATTTTAGGGTCACAGAGTACACATTTGTAAATAAAGTCTTCGCTTACGAAAACGTGACAGAACATATGAAATACATATTTGTGAGGTAAGGAAACGTTCTACCATTTCGAAATCAAAGTAAACGATAGGATCAGTAACCCTTTTCAATTATTTTCGAGCCATGAAATAAGGAATAGAATCTATCCACTAGAGTTCGGAAGGCTAAGAAGGGCAAAAATTCCGATAACGAGAAGGCTCATATAGTGTAGTTGGTTATCACATCTGCTTCACACGCAGAAGGCCCCCAGTTCGAACCTGGGTGTGAGCAATTTTTATTGGCTAATTTTTTCTTCTTTTTAAATTGTTGTACGACTTTGTGTATTATCCCAAAACCGAACGAAGTTCTCGTGAGAGACATAATGGTTTTATTGAGTTGTTCAATGAATCTATCTGCACTTATAGAGTGTGACTATTATGTCTTCAAAAATGTGAAACAATCCAAAATATTAGAGGTTGTTCAATGTGACTCCCAAATCACCGAAGCAACTTGAACAAGTCTTAGTGCTGGGCTTTTGATTAGCAACGACAAATATAATACATAGTGTATTGAATAGTGCAGAAAAGAATTTTTGGGGAGTGGAGGATCACTGCTCAGTGACCAACATATATATTTGACCAGCCTATGCTACTGTGGTTGTTAATCCATGGTTCCTCAAGCTTGCGAACAAACAAGGAGTTTTTGTATCTCATTACGGCAGTTTGAGAATGATGTAGAACATTTCGATGGTATCTAGGTAGTAATTTGGAAAAGAAGAAAGTGTTGAATCGCCATGTTTACTTAGGGAATCGAAGTTGATTTTTGAAAGATATCTAGTGATCTCAATTGCAAGGAATTGTAAGTTTGGCAGAAAGTTTGATGCACCGTGGCCGGGCGGAAAACCAAAAGACCTTTATGCTGGTATAGACAAATGGGAATGAAATTACATGATTAAATGCAAAAACGAGCTATATTGAACGTATGAATGAAAGTACTGTTGAAAACTTAATATAAATCGACTCTTAACCCACACCTTTGAGAGCCACACCTTTGAGATCTATCTTCACACCTTCAGGTTCACACTTTGTGGATTCTCATTTGAACCTGCCCTGCTTTGTCCTGTTTTATCTACGCCAGTCGCATCCACTCGCTAGGAGAGTCGATACCAACCAAATCTTGAACAACCTCGAGCAGCTTTTGAAGTTCCATGACAAATGAGCCACTATTTAAAAAGTATGCAGCGGCCACACTAGAATGACAGGTCAAAATTGAGCGGCGTAGGGAGATACCTATGGAAACATACTTACGTATACGCAGGATCCTTAAAGTAGGATGCTGAGTCTGGTACTTGACGGATTGTTTCACCATATTCGGCGAGAGCATCCTTTGGATAATGCAAGTGAGGAGGTAGTGACGTCTTTGCAGCCAACGCTGCCGATACCAGCTTGAATCCAGTCATGACGGTAGCAATCTGAAAAGAGATTAAGGTGAATTCAGTTGTCGGTGCAGGATGTGTGCGAGATAACAAGGTCTGGGTTAATAAAAAGCTACTTACGTATGTTTTACGAGCTCCTTTCGCCTTCCGAGTCAGATCCGCACGCAAAACCGGAGGAAGCTTTTCCAGTGATGCAGCCTGGTACGAACAGCATCTAGTTAGAAACCTGTTCCGTTTCGTACTCTTTTAATTGAACGACTCTCACCATAGCATATACCATATCGGCCATATTGTCCACGGTATCCAGTAACTTTGCATACTTTTCCTGAGGATACTTGCCACGGAGCGGAGGTTCGTACTTTGCGTGAGCAAGTAAAGTTCTTTCCAAAGCAATCTCACGCTGGATATTGAGGGCCAACTTTATAAATTTCTTTCGTTGCCGCTCTGACATATGTACAGTTGGATCTACGCGTTCAAATGAGTATACAATGGCAGAGTATAGAGTTCCGATATCTTGAACTGTTTGGGCCAATCTGTAGCGAAGCTCCACTCTGCCTGTGATTGGGAAAGGAATACAGTACATGATGGAAGCAGCAACGACACCAATAACGACAAGTAGACATCTCTGGAAGAGCAGATAGAGTTTGCGTGAGAATATGGCATGGAATTGCAAGTATAGTTCAATTGCAATTAGTTACCTTTCCTGCGACTTCCCATACTGGCTCCGGGTTATCCTGTAAGACGTAGCTGTAACGATATGCAACAACCTGTGTAAAGCGATAGGAGAGTCAGCTCACAGGGCGAACACAAATGGCTTGGCTATGCAGTGGTTAGCCTATGACCATCGGATACTTACTAAGGTTAAAGTAACTTGAGTCATCAGTGTACAAATTCTCCAGAAAGGTTTGTAAAAGAAAAGATGGTATAGAATATAGTTAATGATGAACATGACGACACCAATAGCGTATGTGATCCCTTGACACATTTCCCAAACCACAATTCCTAGGATAGAACCGGCCACAGTGCCAAGTAGACGAAGAAAGAATCTGTGTGATATGGAGATAAGTTGGTATTTAGTCAGTTGAAATGATCATTTGGTTCATTGTACTGGCGACTATGGATGTGGATTGATGAACAGTATTATTGGATACCATCTTAGCAGCTATTGACATCTCTGGTACATACCCAAATATCAATAATCCAGAGGTAGGGAACATCCAGAATACGAGAGTAATAACAGCCCATTGACCACGCCATTGGTTATACCAGGCAGCAGAAGATGGGAAATACGCTGGAAGAGCTAAAAGAACGCATCCAATAGATGTCTTCAATACTGTCAGTGTGTTAGGCTCAAACAGCCACACCTTGAACTGGTAGATCTTGTACCAAAATCTTTCCCATCTTGTCGTTGGAGCTGACACATCAGGATCACGTCGCAAGACACGACCTGTCGAATCCTCTTCATAATTATAAGGGCCACCAGAGCGATCTAAGGAAGCTTGTTGATAGTTTATGCGACTTGCCGTCCTAGCTAATTGAGCAGTGCCATCCCCTTCGGTCATTTGATTGCCATTGGCAGTGATATCCTCATCACGAGTGTCTTCCTTAAGCCATTTCCTGAAGGTAATATTCGGCCAACAAATGTGGCGTTTACATCGCTCCTTTTCCAACAAAGTTATGAAATCTGCCATTTCCAAGACTTTCTCGGCATATTCGCGCAGATTGTACTGGAATAGCAGCAACAGCAACAATGCTCTATGGGGTTCTCTCTCGGTAAGCTTGGACATGAACAGATGGTCCATGCTTGATATACGATCGTGCTCAAAGGTTTTGATAGCCATTTGCAGTCTATTGGCAAACGGACAGTCGGATATGTTTGATGTAGATATGCATTCATCCTTATACAGGTTTGATAGGTTTGGAAGATCAGTTGGCGATTGTGGCTTTTCCGGTACTTCTCCGTTATGAAGACAATTGAGGCGAGTCATACATTCTGAAACTGCATTTTGGCACTCCAAAGCAAGGGCGTTGCAGATGGGTCTGATTACATTTAAAATGTCATTGTACTCTTTTATCAACTCATCAGTGTCAGTGATTGTTTGGGATTGCGAATCTGAATGTACGCTAGAGGTATCCTGCATGACTGGGTTCGCGTCCAAATTGGCCGTTTGCCATTTCTTTAGTATGCCGCCAGTTTGAGCATCATACATTTCCTGTTCTATAACTCGACTGAGACCAATACCATGTAATGGTGCTCTCATTGATTTAACCAGTTTGGTTAGATGGCTAAAATCCTTTGCGGTGAGCTTGGAATACATGATCTCACGTTGTACAGCTCGCTTGCTTTCAGTGAGCATCAATATGTTCCCTTGCAATTGAGAATGGATAGCCGAGAGCGGTGTAGCATGTTCTGGGAGTGCTAAATATGGATCCCGTAAGAAGACTTCGACTTGTTGGGAGAGCAATTTATTGAAAGAGTCGAGAGTCGTTGCAAACATGGTGATGCAGCTGTTGGCTGTATCTTCTGGCCATATTACGATATCGATGACCACGGCGAATCCACCACCTATGCAAATAGGGATGACAAATGACCACTAAAATGAAGATTGGGATTAGATTATGGCAGTGGAGTAGACAGCAGGGATAAGTATATGACAACTTACAATGACAGTTGGTAAAAACGTGGGAATTATGGCTGAGGTTGTCATGGAGAAAATCAGGACGATACATCCAAGAATACCAGCAAAATTTGCTAATGTTCTCCAAAAGAATTAGAAAAATGCCTCATTGTTGTAGATATTCATATTAAACCTGCTACTCGAAAACTATTACCTTTAGGATAGGCTGTTCGGACCCAATTGTTGAAAAATGTCCCAATGAAAAGGAAAATTGCTAGTATTACTCCGCTGCTGACTTGCAATGGATTTGCATTGGTATGATCTCTGGACAGGTTGGCAAGGTACATGCCTAAGAAAAGATCAATCAATATGAAGATGAAAGAATATGATACCGATATTTGAGTAGAGCTTGCCTAGAAATGACCACCCAGCACTGAGCATTGTTCCGAGCAGACTGATTATCACCACCTACCACAAATGGGCTTAGTAAAAAAAAAAAAAAATAGGTAGGAAAAAATAGGAATTCAGAGCCAGCGCAAGCATCACTAACCTCAACCTGCAGTCCGATTGGCTTCACCGGGCAAAAGAATATCATAGCGATGCAGGTAAGCAAAGTTCCTTGACCGATGCCTATATTGGTCACACGGTCCAACACCAACACTAATGTTACGGTCAATGCAATATCGGCTTTGAGGGTCTTCTTAAATTGATTATAAGTTGGTAACTTGGATAGGAGCTTTTTAGTTGCACTAAGCTTAGGTGCTGGGCTGGACTTAGAGTTTTCTTTTGTAAGTGCGTCCTGTGTAGTAGTAGATATTATCGTTGACGATGGTTTGTCAAAAGCAGGCTGGATCTGATCATTCCGGGAGATTGCTGGTGTTATATCCAAGACGCTTGCCTCGTTATTAGGTTGTTTCTGGAGCTCCTCATTAGATAAATTTGACATTCTTGAATGGAGCCGTAAATGATTGCTGGAGAGCAAAGACGGGCACTTTGTTTCAAATTTGTGACAGGTGAAAATGTCCATCGAAAACCCTGCAGATCGGCAAACTCTGCGATTTTGGGTTTCACCAGGCTGCTGTTGGCACAATTCACCTCTGACAGCCAGTAATTCCCTCTCTCTCTCAATCACGATTTCGTTCACAGTGTTAATATCATTATATTTCGGTGGTCAATTTTTTTTTAACTACAATCTAGCCCTAACACCATTCTTCAATCTCTCCTGCTCTTCCTCTTCT